AACTTCACTGGTCCTATTTATTTAGATGTACTCCTTCCTTGTAGATAGATAGAATGCTAGTCTTTCTTTTGTTGTTTGTTGCTTCACATTAAGAATAATAATTAAAAAAAAATCTAAAGTTATATTTGTCTTGCCAGAAGGAGCAAGATACTAACCATGTGATTAATAAGCTATCTAGAAAAAGAAATGAGAGCGTATTTTAGAGCCACATGGCAACATGGTTTTTTATTAGGAATAGTTGGTGGTGGTTAAAGAATATAAGCTGACATAGAAAATTGTTGTTCTCCTGTAGCATTTTGATCCATTTTTAAATTTTAATTTACAGTAATGAAAGGTGGTTAATCAAGGAAAACCTCAAGGCAAACGAATGGGTAAAACAACCAAGCAGTCTTCTTCAAGCAGCCTTCTCCCTCTCTCACCCCCTCCTCCAATGAAAGAAGGAAGACTCCCTTCTGTAATATCTCCATGCTCTTATTGATGTTTTACAATTCCTGGAAATCAGGAGTTAATTGTTGTCTGAGCACTTGAATTTGTTATATCCTCGTGTTTCTGAAGGGAAGTCAGGAGGCTGGCCACTTTATATGTTCATTTAAGTGATTAACAACCAAATATGAACCATTATCCATGAAACAATTTTCCGCCATTGACTTTGTTTGTGGGCCATTATTTCTTTAGTTTTTATGTACTATTTTTTGTTTTCTAATCAGGCAAATTTGATTAGGACAGCTGCCATTAACTATTTGTTAGATTCTGGTGTTCAGTGGGGATCAGCACCTGCAGTAAAAGTAAGGAATTTGTGATTTTATAGTTGGTTGTCATTTTTTCCCTCTGGTCAGCTTAGCTAACATTGATTTATACTCAAGTAGTCATATGAATTGATCCAAATCTTCAGGGTGTGAGAGATGCAGCTGTTGAGTTATTACATACTCTGGTAGCTGTACATGCTGAGGTACTTACCACCATATATTGTGTGGCCATATTGTCTTAACTTATTCCATTCTACGTTTTTGTGAATTTCACTGTTGTTTGTGGGTTTTACCTGCATAAGTGATCATTTTGATATTTTATCTTCTTGACAATGTGTCAGAGAACTCTTCGGTATTTGAACTTTGAAGCGTCCTTTCTCTTTATCAGTTTAAGTTACTATTTCTGGTAATAAACTCAATAATTCGTTTACTTGAGTAACTAATTCCACCACCAGGTCTTTGCTGGTGCTAAGCCCCTCTTGGACAAGACACTTGGCATTCTTGTGGAAGGTCTGATTGATACTTTTATCAGCCTTTTCCATGAGAACAAAACTAAAGATTTCAGTTCACTTGATGCAAATGGTTTCTGCCAGCTCATGCTTGAGGTATTATATGGCATTTTTCTTCAGTGATTTTAATGGTCTTCAACCTGACTATTGATTACTGCTTGTTTTTTGTATGCTAAGATGATTGGATACTTGATATTGTCCACCAACATGATGGGAAGTGAAACTCTTTAGAATAACTAATATCTTTGACTTGTGATTTTAACATCCTGTTTAGAAGCTGGAACACATTGTTGTGGTTCACAAGCACTAGGTTCTTTTCTTTTCATGGATCAGTATGTACTCCTTCCAGGCGTATGCATGTATGTCACCCCATCTCTGCCTTCTTTCTTTTCCAGTTTTCCTCACCCCGTGTTGGATGAAATGTGCTAGGAAAGTGATGTATCATTTTGTGCTAAAGATCAATTGGCTGCTTGAAAAAGATTACTTTTCTTTACTATTGCCACTGCATTTGTGATTAACTGATTGGTTCGAGTGGCTTAGATGGTTGATTTCTGTGAGATGTGTCTTTTGCAGCTTGAATATTTTGAGACCATTTTAAATCCATATTTCACAGCTGATTCTAGGGAGTCTGTGAAGTCTTTACAAGGGGTGCTGTTGGAGAAAGCAACTGAAAGCATCTCTGAGGCTGTTGAAAATCCAGGGAACCATCGGTGACCAACTTGTGGAAGTGAAGATGCTCTTGCAGATGAGAGGCAGCAAGGGGTGTCTGTATCTCCAGATGACCTGATTGTAAGATTCTTGTTCTTGTAGTTCTAGGATATCTTCCTATACTGGTTCTTTATGGAGAAATTTTGAACATGTTGGCCGCTGATATTCATATGCTTTTATAAAATCATACTTTCACTGAGATGAATTAGGAGCAGAATTACATTTTCAATAATTACTCATAGTAATTGACAATGCTATTGTCATGTGAGTATTCCTTGTTGGTTCAGCCAGTGGACAGGTTACTCATACTGTCTATGCACAAAGGTACACGAATCTGATTTGTACATTTGGTTACCAGTTTAGGTTCATTGCAGGGGCTGTAATCATTAACTTGTTCAGTATATTAATCTTTCGTATTTTCTGTTCCATTCTATGGATAGGATCTTAACATGTTTCTGGTTTTTTTCCAAGGCTCTTGCACAGCAGTATAGCTCAGAATTGCTGCAAGCAGAGCTTGAGAGGACCCGCATAAATACAGCATGTTTTGTGGAGTCACTTCCATTGGAATCGGCTCCAGAATCAGCTAAAGCTGCCTACGCTTCCTTTAGAGGTCCGATGGACTCTCCTAGCAGAAATTATAGAGGCACACAAGCAATGGGATCCCCTAGTTTCACCCAGCGTAGGCGCAGATAGATGAGCCAGCAGCTATACTTAAAAAAAAAAAAAAAATCCCAATGTTCATGTGCAATGTTGTATTTTACTTGATACATATAATTTTGAATGAAATATGCATTATTTTCCATATTTTGTATCAATGGGCACATAATTTTGATCCATGGTTGAAAATTTTGGATCAGTTTATTATTTACTTGATATTTAGCATCATTAGCAAAAGGCAAATAGAATCATTGCCTTACTTTTATAAGAAGTAGATTTTTTAATAGAAATCAGAGATGGGTCAAAAGCAAATTTAGAGTGCTCAAACTGTTATATAATATATATATATTCTATTAAATTTTATATTTATATATGTATTTGTCAATATTTTTTTTAAAATTTGGTATTAAATGGATTGCATATACAATACAAAAAAATTAAAAAAATTATTTTTTATAATATATATTTTGAGAATAAGAATAAATTTAAGTATTCATCTTCATCTCCGTTGGGGTTTATTTTTCTAACGTTTTGACTTTTTTTCTTAAATAGGCAAAACTTTCAACAAAAAATCCATGAATAAGAATGACAAAACAAAAAACTTTTGATTGCAGTAACGTTCAGATATTCACCTAATTTATATAATATTTGGACAAAAATGTTACTTCAGTAGCTCCATTAACATTATTTTTTTACAAAATTAATCTAATTAAAAAAATAAAAGCAAAAGGCAAAAAATTTTTAAAAAACAAAAAAAGAAAAAATGTTATCTATCACATCGAGTTAAATTGAAACTCATCAAATACAAATTATCTTATCTATATCAACTTCTTTTATTGCAAAATTTATATAACAAACAAACAAAAAAAAAAAGGAAAGAGAAGAAGATAAATTAAGGAGGACATTTATTTTAACAAATTTATTAAGTAAAAAATTAAAAATTAAAAAATAAAAAATTTTAAAAAGGAAAATAAATATAAAGTGTCACGTTAACGTATTGAATGAACTTAAAAAAAAAAGTTAAAATGAGAAAATTTTATTTAATGCATGAATAGATAAATAAATTACATCTTAATTATGTATAATTATAATATTTTTATTAAATTAAATATAAAATAATAATTTTATTAATATAATATATATAAATATAAAATGAAATAAATAAATATCAAATTAAAAGGAAAAATAACAAAAAAAATATTTTTAATAATCGGATCAAATGGGCCTCACTTTTTAAAAAATTTTAAATATTTTAAAATATTAATCAAATAAAAAATTTTAAAAATGTAAATAGAAAAAAAAAAAGAATCAAATGCCTTGACATGTGGCATACCCTTTATATCAAGTGGGTCAAAAAAATAAAATTTAAATAATTATTTATTAAATATGTAAAAAAAGAGTAGAGTAAAAAAGTTTAAAAAAAAAATATATGGTATGTCCTTGATATCAAGTGGATACCACACAAAAAATTTAAAACCTTAAAAAAATTTATTACTTTAAAAAACAAAAAGAGAGGAAAAAAAAAGAGAAAATTTTGGTATCAAGTGAATCTCACAAATAATCATTAAAATATTTACTAAAAATAAAAAATCAAAAAAAATTTAAAAAGAAAAAGTAAAAAAAGCAATAAAAATGTTTAAAAATCAAAAGTTTTAAAAAGCATTTAAAAAAATCTAAAAATAAAAAAATGATGCATAAAATAGCAGTTAAAATCTGTACGTTACCAAAATTTACATAAAAAGTGATGGATACATATGCCAATATATTTTAAATTATTTCAATATATAACAATATAACTAATTTTAAATTCTTTAATGAATAACAATGTACCTAATTTTAAAAAATTGCAAAGCATTTAACTCAAGATGGTATGTGCATTTTAAAAAAATTGGTTTAGCTCAATTAAATAGTGAGTTCAAATATAAAAAGTAATGCAAGATGAAATGAAGTGAATTGTTAAAATTTTAAGTAAATTTGAAATTGGGTACGGTATGACAAATTAGGCAATAAAAATTGAAAAGTGATTTAAATCAAAATAATATAATATGTTTTTCCCACATTATCCTACGTTTTTTTTAATTTTTTATTAAAATAACAAACGGATTATTCACTATTCATGTTTTTAAATACCACTAAAAAATTAGAAAAAAATAAATAAAGATCTCAAAATTTTCGTGACACTTTTCTGCGATTTTTCTTCCATTAAAAATTTTGTTGTGTAACATTTTTTTTTTTATATTATTGAATGTAATAGCATGATATTATCATTATGTAAATAATGAACAAAAATATAGTAATTTTATTTTTATGAGAGTGTAACAAACTCTTGATTTTAAGTAGAAACGGTGCTTGCTTAACATATTTAAGTTACCTATATTTATAATCTCAAGAAAAAAAAAGCTATCTCTATTTATTTACATGTTAACAAATACTAGTTTCAAATATTGCTGCAAATTCCCTGTTTTCACGAGGAGATAGAAGATCTCCCTTGGGGCCTTACGGTTCCTATCAAGAACAATATGATAGCACATAATGCACCTAAAATAGAAATCAAAAAGAATCCCCTATTTCCATCTGTCCTCCTAGCAGTTGCAGAACCATCATCGATTGCAGATGCATCAGTGATTCCAGCATTTAGTCTCAACCTACTGAAGCTAGACATTCGCTTGAAAGCCCGATTTACTGAGGGACTCTCAGATGCACGAGCAGGAGTCGTAGGTATTGACTCCACAAACGACCACAGAGCAGACGAAAATCGGCTTGCACCACCACCATTTTTGTCACCTTGGTCTTGATTTATACTATTGTGTGTAAAACCTAAAGACAATAAAAAAATAACCATATATAAGCAAAATGTTACAGTTTAGCAGTATATGAGTGAGTAGCTTTTCACATTGACAAGCAATCCATCTGATCAAGAGCTCTGAAGGGATGGGCTACCACAGCAACTTTATCCAAAACAAAGGCATAGCTCAGTGAATATAAGATAAGCTCACAAACAAATGCATATTGATATCCACACTTGCTCTACCTGAAGTTGGAGAGGCATTTCCGAGATTTGATCCTGATGGATTGAAGACATCACCACTCTGATCATGTGTGCAAATTGAGCCATTGATCTGATCCAATTGTATATGTTGGTCCAGCTCATTTCCAACAGACTGGAACTGCAACTGGTAATCCACCTGCTCCACAGTTGAATGGGGTATCAACTGCTGATCCATCAGGTTATTTGAACACAAATGAGATTGATAAACCCCCTGATTTAACATATTATCCCCGAAGGCATTCAATTGAGGCTGCAACTGCTGAGTATCACCAATGATATTCAATTGAGGCTGCAACTGCTCAGTTTCCCCATAGGCATTCAGTTGAGGCTGCAACTGCTGATTATCCCCAAAGGTATTCAATTGGGGCTGCAACTGCTGATTATCCCCAAAGGTATTCAATTCGGGCTGCAACTGCTGATCCATCAGATTTACATTTGATTGGTGTTGCAATTGCCAATCCATGAGGTTTATATTATGCAACTGCTGATCCATCAGGCTTATATTTGATTGGGATTCCAACTGGTAACTTACCTGATTTATCATATTATCAGCATCCGAGAATGTAACTGTTTCTTGATCAATAGGCCCAATGTCCTTTAGAAACATGGCTGAATCATGGTACAGGTCAAATTCACTCAGTCCATCCAAAATATTGAACTGTTGCCCGTTCTCCGCAGGTTTCTCAACATTTGAGGTCAAAGGTTCAGGACTAGTGAGATCATCAATTTCCAGGAAATTCTCGCATATTTGAGGTAACTGTTCAAATATGTTAGCAACAGATGTGACCTCGGGTGCCTCATGCAACTGCAATTCAGAACTGGGTGGCTGGGAGAATTCAAAGCTCACTTGGTCAGGAAGTACCAAAAGTGGCTCAGGAAAGAGAACATCCCTCGAAGATGGGTCCAGCAAAGTACTTTGTGTCTCTTCTTCACCGACAACCTGAGGCAATACATATCCAAGATGAGCTTGTGACAGTGAAAGTGCAGGCCCATCAGCTAATTGTCTCATAAACTCCTCAATATCATTCAATGGAAACTGAACTTGATCATTAGCTTTAACATTATCATCAGGAATGGCCTCATTAGGTGACTTCAAAGGGGTGATTGTATCTACAGGGTTACGAGCATATTCCTCCTCAGCCCATTCTTCTTCTTTAAATGTTGCCCCATACTGCTCTCCATTTTTAGGACCGGGTCCACTTTTCTTGTAAACTTTATAGAGAGCATAATAGTCCTGAAACACAAATAAGAAACACAAAATTAATAAACAGCTCATACACAGGAGGAAAACTAGAAAAGTTTCTTAGGAAACTTCTTCAGCTGCATACCTTTGCATTCTGGCATCTCTTGAGTTCCTCTTCATCAAGGGTATACTCATGCATTACCCAATCAGTTCGCTCACCATTAGGTGCTCGCCCTCTGTAGAAAACTAAAGTTTTCTTGAGTCCAACTGTCCAAGAATTACAGGTAACAGTACGATCCTTTCCTGTAGCCTTCCAATACCCAAGTCTGGTTGCCCTGTTTGACCTTGCTCCATTAGGGTATTTCCTGTCTCTTGGAGTGAAAAAGAACCACTGTCTATCCCCAGTCTTCAGTATTGATTGTGCTGTATTAACATTTTCTTGTTCATTAGAAAACTGATAATACAACCAATTAAAGCAAAATCAAAAACTAGTAACCAATCTACTGATGAAGTTTATCAAACAAACAATCCATCTGTAAAACAGATAGCATCAAGAGCCCCAAATGGGAACAAAAACAAACCATTTTTGTTCTATAGAATAAATGGGGGCATCTAAAAATTTCATCATTGATTACATCAGCTTCCCATAGACCATACGAATCAGAGGTTAAAAGAAGAAGTTAGATTTCATAGAAACAATAGCTCCAATGCGCTAGACGACTAAACAAACAAAATTCTAATAAAAACGCACCAATCAACTCTGAAAACCGCAACCTTCAAATCGGAGCATGGAACCTGAATAAATCACACACGATAATACAGTTCCATCACCAACTCCATCCAATCAATTTTTACATTTTAAATTTCCATCAAAACCAATTAATATCCAACAAAAAGAAAACAAGAACTATAACCAAACAAACAGCCCAATTACTGTGCAAAGCAAAATCAACTCAATTTAATCAAACAAAATCCAAGTCAACGCACCAAAACCCTAGACATATAATTGCATTTTAAAAGATAACTCCCTAATATCAGTTAAACCAACAAAATAAAATGAAAGAAAAAATGTAACCAGAAAAAACAAGATCAATAATTAACCAAAAATAGCCAAGGTAAAAACAAGAGCCCAAAATTTCAACGTTAAAGAAAAAAGAAGAAAAATTTACCAGGCAACTCCTCAGGGTCACACTTGTAAACATCAGTTTCCCTTATGATATCAAGCTTGAGCTTTCTTCTACAGATCTTCCTCTTTAAATAATAAAGAACCAGCTCTTCATCAGTTGGGTGAAAACGAAACCCCGGTGGCCACACTTGATCGTCGCCAAAACAAGAATCAGCCGTCGCAATAGCTGTCATCTCTCTTGATAAGAAAAAGATTTTTTTTTTCACTAAATAGGCAAAAAAGAAAAGAAAACTTTCTTATCAAGAAAGCTAAAAACAGAGCGAACTTGAAAACAAGGAACTTAATTTCACATGACATAAAATAGGAAAGCAGATCTTAGGGTACAAGTAGACAAGGGTTTTTTACTTTTTTTTTTTTAATCTTTTTTGGACTTTTTTCTTTTTGGATTTGGACAAAAAGCAAAGAGTGATTTGTAGTCAAAGAGGAAATTTTCCCGGAAGCTTTAGAACTCGAGGCTGGCTGACCAGCGACTTTTATAAATAGACTGGACCTTAGAAAACGGTACTCTTTCGGACCGGTGGGTCGAAATCCCGGTTTGCTGATGTCACAGTCATAACATTTTTATAGGGTTAAATAGGTATTTGGCCTTATATTTTGTAATTTTGGTTACATTGATATTTAAATTTTTTTTTAATTAAATTGGTACATGAATTTTTAACTCATTATTATATTAGTACCTTTGACTAATTCGTTTTGATTTTATTAAATCTGTTATTTTTTGTTTTTTCTTTTTTAAAAATTTTTTGGATTTTTTTTAAAAATTTGGAAGCTTTTTGAAAATTTTTATATTTCCTTAATTCTTTTTGAAATTTTTAAAAGCTTTTAGATTTTTTTAAATTTTTAAATTTTTGAACTTTTTAAAAATTTTTAAAAGATTTTATAATTTTTTTAAATTTTTTCAAAATATTTTAATATTTTTAAATTTTCTTAAAATTTTTTGAAATTATTTTAGAATTTTTATAATTTTGAAAATTTGTTAAAGTCTTTTAAAATTTTCATAATTTTTAAAAGTTTTTAAAATTTTTGAATTTTCAAAAAATTTTTAAAAATTATTTTAGAATGTTTAGAAAATTTTTAGAATTTTGTAGAATTTCTTAATATTTTATAATTTTTTGAATTGTTTAAAAATTATAAAAAAATTTTAGATTTTTTAAAATTTTTTTTAAAATTTTTAGATTTTTGAATATTTGATCTAAATTTTTTTTTTATAAATATAATATGAGCATGACGCAACATAATATGGTATTGAACCATACTTTTTGATACGTGTTAATATTTTATTAAATATTTATACTACGTTAGCAAAATTGATTATGTTGTCAAAAATACTAATATGATAATGAATTGAAAGTTCAAGTACTAATGTAACAAAAAAAGTCTTTTAAGTATCTATGTCATCAAAATTATAAAGTTTATAAGCTAAATATATATTTAACCTTTTTTTTCTACCAAATCTTAAGTAAATATCTCCAAATTGAAATTTTCCCCTAATGGAAAATATGAAAAGTGTGTGACGGAATGCTTGCCTTGTGCATTACTAAAATATTTAATATTATCATTTTCAATTATTCCAAAAATTATAAATATAGTTAGAGAAGAAAAAAAAAATAATTACAGTTCATATGATCAAATTTGTTTTGCTTATTTATTCTATCAACAAAATTAACTCTTTCGGTATTTTAGTTAATTTACGTTTAACTGTCACGTTATTATACCTTAAAATTGACTCGTCTCTCATTTATAATAGGTTCATTCAACAACTCCACTATTGTCTTATTAAGACATTATTTTATAATTGAATATTTTATTGCTAATTTGTTTAAAATCATAAAATATAATTCATGTTTACTTGAGATTATTAAATATAGTTTGCAATCATTTACATGAATCCTCCTTGAACTCTACAAAGAGTTGCCATTAAATATCAATTATCTTAATTAAATCATCGTCATTCATCTTATATATAAAATAAAGAGGAAATATATAAATATAGCACTTAAGTATTTTCTCTATTATAGTTTCTTTAATACAGTTCATATTTTTTCTCGTTTACCTTTAACTTTATTAATTTGAGAGTTAGAACGCATCCAATACTCTTTGACCGTATTTTCTAACTATAAGTCTCAATTCCATTATCCTTAATGTTCAATAAGCTTTCAACCAATCATCAATAAAATTTAAATTCAATAAATAAATCATAATTATACTAAATGTGTGTGTAAAAAATTTATCAAGAAATTAGTAATAGTAGCATTAAAATGTTATGTAAAATAACAACGCTTATAATAGAGTATAATCTACCATATAATTTATTTTTATAATATTTTACAATCTTAGGAATTCAGTGACGTAAGTTATAAATACTATTGCTAGCTAGGGGATTCGTGTGCTTTCAAAGCAGTTTTTCAACATTCAATTGGACAAACTTTGTTTTTTTGTTTGATAATTATGATAGTAGTGAAACTAAGGCCTTTCCTTTTGTTGTATATAAAATCATAAATGGTGTTTATAGTATTACTCTTTGTTTCTTCATTAATTTTATGCAAATACAATGGATTATCTCATAAATCGAATTTGATTAAAAATATTTTTTCAATAAAATAATACTAAATGAAGTGAAAAACCTTTTAAAAAACTAGTATAGTAATATAAAAATTAAATCGAATGGTTGGATTTGGTTATTTTGTTCAAATTTATATATAAAGTTAAAGTAAAAGAAAAAAATAAATATAAGAAAAATACAAAACCGACCAACATAATAAATACTAGTATTTACTGGCAACAAAATAAAGACTACTGCTCTGAAGCAATTCTACACTCCAACGCGTACGGTACGGTGGTACTATGCGTACATTATCAAGAAAATATCATTAGAAATTATGTCATCTGTAATAATTATAATATAATTAATCAATTATAATTTAAAATTACATAAATTCATTAAAATTTTATATAAAATTTAAATGATAAATTTTTACGTAAATCTTTATTATAATTATAATATTATAATAAAAAATTATAAATGATATGTTTTTTAATAAAAAATGAAAAAAAGAAATTAAACACCATCATTTTCTTGTCTTCCAAACAAACCCGGAGGCCAAATCTCCCCCTCTCTGCCTCAAACTTTTCTTTTTAAAAGTTCAACTTCTCAAAGGAACTATTAATATATAAAAAGTACTAGATCTGAATGCATTGTCAACTTTACTGCAATTTTCGACAGTTCGTGATCAATCTCGATCCCGTGTAAGTCAAAGCATTCATTTTTCTCTCTTCCAAAATTTCATCTTTTTTTCATTTTCTTTTCCCCTCATTTTCTGCCATTTAAAAAAAAATGTTTTGCATATTTTATGGCAATGCAAGGTACTGACCAGTCACAACTTGATAAATTAATACTTAAATTCTTTTAGAAAATTTTATTTTTATGTGGAATTAACTGAAGCAGAATCACTGTAGACAAAGAAAAGTTTTGATCTTGCTAAATTTTGCTTAATTTCGTGTTGAAGATCCTTTATATATATATTTGTTTATTTCAGGGTTGAAACTGTAAATGCAGCTTCAAATTTGTAAAATTCGAAGTGGGTATTAGGCCAAAGAAAAAGAAAAATTATTGATCTGGAATTGTATGCTTTCGTCAATTGGGTATTAACAAACAGAAAAAAAATGGTGTTTTGGGAAGGATATGTGAGTGACGAAGCAATGGGGACATTTGCCCCAATTGTAGTGTATTGGTTGTATGCTGGGTTTTATCAGCTGTTACCCCCTTTGGATAAGTACCGTTTACATACTAGAAAGGAGGAGGAAGAGAAGAATTTCGTGACCCTCGCTTCAGTTGTTAAGGGTGTTTTGCTTCAACAGCTTGTTCAAGCAACAGTTGCTCAATTGCTCTTTCTGGTTAGTTTTAGAATCGTGTTATACTTTCATCATTTATACTTTCATCATTTACTTTGCTTTTTAATCCTTTTTTTTTTTGGATAAATAAAACTTTCTAATCTTCATTGTAAGTATGTCGTATGTGTTTACCATTATGAGACCAATTGCTGTTTCTTGGTTTCTTTTGTTCAGTTGATGGGGTGCTTTGATTGTTTTACAGTAAAATTTGTGCTTGGCGTTATGGTTTAGGTGCTCTAGTGTCAGTGTTGTAGAAGTTCATCTTTTTTTTTATTTGTTGAGAAGAGATATGCTGGAAATTGTTGTAAGTGAATTCAAAGCAATAGGTTAGAGTACTGTTATATGTTAACAATAGAAATAACAACTTAAAATGAAAAGGACATATTATAGCGAAAAAAAAAAAAAAAAGAAAACAAAAGGAGTATTAAGTTGTAGTGATTTTTATAAAGATTAATTTTAATTTTATAAAACATCTTAGTGTTACAATAAATAAACCATAGGCCTACATTTTTAAAATATCTTATTTCATGTAAGTAAACTACATCTTGGCAGTTGTGAATTTAAATTCCTTACAAATGCTTCTGCACTAAAAAGTATAAGTAAAACCAAACTCATTGTTGACAAAATGAGCATTCAAAGAAATCTGTGCAGCATACGTAGAGATGAGGCTAAGAATAACAAGAAAAATTTTACTGATTTTGGCAATTTGTATTTGTGATTCAAAATGGAATTGAGCATGGATAATATGTGTAATTTAATCATGGCTTTGGCAAATGAAAGTGAGTTGTGTGAAAATAGCAATGCCTTACACTAGGTTTGACAAATATTCCCTGGTCCTTGTAGTTTATGGAGTTAGTTTAATTTTTCCCCCTTTTATGACTTCTAGGAGGATAGAGTAAATATAGATTAGGTTTTATGTTTTCAATCAAGTTTGAATATCTTTTTTGGTTACTTGATCATTACAAGTAATTTGGAGGCATGATCAATGGTGGCAAGTGGTCACTGATGCAGTGAGGAAATTTTGGATACGATGAAGACCTAGGACTTCCATCAATGGGAATGGATTGGTTATTGGTTCTTATGGTATTAGAGGGAGACCAAAAAGGGGTCGCATAACTCTATTGGAATTATTTGGTTTTTGTGGTTTTCTGTGTATGTTTATTGATGTAATCTGCATTGCTTAGAATTTACGCATGGGGTTATATCTTTTGTGGTGAAGCAGATACATGGGTTTTGGTTTCTCTTTTTTTTTTTTTTTTTTGATGAAGTAAAATTTGCATTTACAATGGGCTTAACAGCTGATGAAGAGAAATAGTTTTAGTTCAGGATTGAAATCTTGGCAGTGTCATGTACAAGGGAAAACAAATTTTTTTTGCCTTGCATGCTTTTCTTTTCCTTTTCCCCCCCTACCCTCTCCCTTCTTCTAAAGGATACTGGTAAGGACTGAGTTATTTTCTTTAGGTATTTAGACCTCTAATTTTATTACATTCTAGTTTGGCATCTCCCATTTGTTAATGCATATTAAGACCTGTTGGATATAATTACTTCTGTTGCTCAACGATCTTTTTTCTGGTGTATGATGACTGCTCATGACACATTGTGTATTTTCATTTGAAACTTAAACATTTAAAATAAAAGTTTTTGCTATGTTGATGTCAATTCCCCAAATTTGATTCTTGGCTTGTACAGGTCATGACAGTAAGATGTCCTCTTAAGCGTTAGGTTTCCTTTTTTTCCTGAAACTGTTGCTAGGATTCTTCTTTCCATTTTAGAACACAGTGGAGTTTGTATTATTAGGATAATGCCTCACAACTTGTCAACTTCCTCTTGCATTTGGTCCTAATTGCTTGTAAATCTCCTTAATCAAAGCAACACCATGCCATCAAGAATAGCGTAGCTTACAGCTCCATCAAGTGTGTCAAATAATTGGTCATGAATTTTAATGCACTTATTGCTAATCTAGGTTGCGTGATTGGATGAAGAAAAAAAAATTCTCAGTTCCCCTCCATATAATCATCCAAATCTACCTCCTTTCTTGTCCTCATTTATACAAGCCATATGTGTTTCCATTTATCATATTCAAGAGTTGTTAGTAACAATCTGAAATCACCTTTTGTCCTTTTTATATTCAGTGACCTTGGTCTCTTCTCTAGTCAGCTAAGTAGGCCAAGCTGAAATAGCCAAATCTTGATGCACTCAGGGCCTCTCTCCAGTGGCACTGTCATAGAAGTGGAACCAGGAAACTTTATGTTCATTCAAGCACCTAAAAAGTCAGATAGGTGGCATGTGTTTGGATTATTTTGCTTAGTAAGTTTGTTTAGGCAGTATTATGTCTGTAATTGGTTTAGGGCGAGTTTCAGCTTGTGCTTGGGATCCTGAAAACCATTTGGACTGGAAAAGATGCCAAATGAACTCAGATTTCAATCTAAGTGAGGTTTAAATGAAAAATGTGGCTTATCACCATAATATTCCCCATGTTGTACAAATCTCATAATGTTCCAAATCAGAGTTATTCCCCAATCACAATTCCAAATAGGCTTTAATTTTCTTTGAAACTTGGATATCATGGCTTGCTTCTTTGGAGTTGAATGTGTGTTACCTTCTGCTCATATTTGTAGTTCCATTGTGTTAGCCATGGAGGAGGTCTTTCTATATGGTCTCGTACTTTGGGAACCAAATTCTATTTTGTTCTGTTGCTTCATTTTGAAATGGGAATTGATATCATTAGATTGTTGAACTTCGATGGGATCGTACATGTTTTTCTGCTTTGAACTTCTGTCTTGTCTGTAAAATGTTTTTGATATTGGAAATGTCTATTTGCTAAAACCTTAGTGCTTTTTTATCTAATCTGCAAAACAATTAATTCAATTGAATATTTTGTTGATTAAGTAGCTTTATTGTCTATTTAATTTCTGCCAAGAGGTTGAAGAACTGCTATGACTTAGATAATAGTGGTTTCAATAGGATAATAAGCCCATGGCTCTTATTTGAGCTTGAGATATGGAACTTTTATTACAATGGAGGACACTTTTTTGGCTAATTAATATTCTTGTGTTCTTGCTGTAGTTGACATCAACAGCAGATGCATCTGGAACCACAATCCAGCCTTCTATTCCTGTTCAAATTTTGCAAATTATTGTTGCAATGATTGTCATGGATACATGGCAGTACTTTGTCCACCGTTGCATGCATCATAACAAATTTTTATACCGTCATGTCCACTCCCAACATCATAGGCTGGTTGTTCCCTATGCAATTGGGGCCCTATATAATCACCCTCTTGAGGGTCTCTTGCTTGATACATTTGGTGGTGCCATCTCTTTCCTCATCTCAGGAATGACTGCACGAACAGCTGTAATTTTCTTCTGCTTTGCTGTGGTTAAAACTGTGGATGATCATTGTGGGCTATGGTTGCCTGGCAATTTATTCCACATTTGCTTCCAGAATAACTCTGCTTATCATGACATCCATCATCAAATCCAAGGAATGAAGTACAACTACTCCCAGCCATTCTTCCCAATTTGGGATATGCTACTTGGAACTCACATGCCTTATGTTCTCTTAAAGCGACCAGAAGGGGGTTTTGAGGCAAGGATAAAGAAAGACTAGTCACATTCCGTTGATTTGTCTTGTGTAGTGCTAGAGGCTCGCATTTCACACTGGAACATATATATATATATATATATTATGAGGTTGTGCCATTCTAGGGAAGTTGAATTAGAAACGGTTTGTTTGAGGCTTGAAGTTCTAGGGGAGGTCATTGGGTTATTTGTTTCTAGTTGCTTGACGATGTTGTGTGTCTAGTTACAATTATTTTACCAACCAACTATATGAATTGTTAATTCTGCCATTCTGGGTTGTCTATTGTGTAGCATATTTGTTTATGTTAGCCGGATCTAGGTCTTCATGTTTGGTAATTTGTCTGGGACTAGCTGATGAGCAAGACGGCTAGAATTGATCTACAAGATTATTATATGTAATTTACAGTGCTTAAATTACTGATTTCAGGTTCTTATTATGCATCATATTGCAGTATTGTCTAATTTGATTTCTTGCTTCTCTTTTTCACAATAATTTGTCCTTCGTTTCTTTCTTTTTTTTTTTTTTTTTTTCGGGTATAAAAGAAGTTGAGTGAAAAGAGGTATCTTCATTAGAGTTTTTTAAAGCTCACAAACCACGTTAAATGTTAATTTTGAGCATTGGTTTTTTTCTTTTCGTAATGTACTCAAGTTTTTACTGGAATCCTTTTTTATCGGTGCATCCTATTAGTATTTATTTTCGTTCTGTTTTTTTTTTTTTTAATTTTTTTTGGCCAAATGATTTTCTTTTTCAATAAACAGTTTATTATTCATTAAAACATTAAAGGATGTAATCATTAGACGATGATAAGAAAATGTGATTTCATTTTTAATTGATATTTCAATTAACAATAAAATATTTTTACCTGATTTACTAAATTTTTACTTTTCCTTTGCTTGAATTATTTATACTATAGTAATTATTGATACATGAATCAATGGGTGCTCTAATTTCTATTTTTCCTTTGTTTTATTGCTACTTTAATAAATTTTTTTAAAAAGGCATTATGCAAATTTTTTCTTTTTATTTTTTTAAATATAAAGCATTGTTCAATCTTGATCTATCGCCTAATTGCTTAATTAGCCATTATTGAGCTACTTTCTCTTGCACTAGAATATTACAAAGGCATACAACTCCAAAACTTAAAATATATTTTGCCTTTTGAAAAAGTAAAAACCAGTAAATTTGGTCATAATGTAAAATCTTTAATAGAAAGTAAACAAATATACTTACCACAAATGAAATAGACAATTTTATATAAACATGAAATTATTCTAAAACTATGACATACTGAGCTTAAGGTTTAATTTAAATAGTTTATCCATTTTCTTTAAGAGTTGGATTCTCGAAAAGTTCAAATTGAACTCCTAACACTTATTATTTTTCTTCCTCTGTTCTTTTAGATACTGGTATTTTTATTTTATAAAAAAAGAAACTATGACATATCACCTCCACTGTATCTTATATTAATTGTGGTCCATGTTAATCATGACAAAATAATTATATTATTTATCAATTTATGTTAAAGGAGAATTATGTAACAACATTTTTTGGAAATTTAACATAGCCAAATATTTATGATATTTTTCTTTTTGAAACACGGCTACTGGCAAGATTTATCTATGACAAAACACAAGCTGAATGCTGATGCATTGCAGCCACTTTTTTTTAATTTTTAATTTTGTAAATGGATAATTAAATGAAATAAAAATCATATAATTAATTGATTGATTTTTTTAAAAATATTATTTATTTTTGTTCAAAATAGTGAGATGGTGACAAACTTAAAGATAAAAGTTACTGGTCTCTTGTTATATATATATATTTTAAAAATCGGGCGGATTTATTGGAATAGAATGAATCTTGTTAGGTATATCGAATCATCAAACAAAATGATACCTACTTTAATGAAAATCAAACTTCCATTAATCAATTGCAACAAATTTCGCCTCAACAAGTTATACAACACAAAAGAAATATAATATTATCGATGGAAATTTAATTAATTAAAATAATTTATAAAAAATAAAAATTTCGTGCACTGCACGAACAATAATTTAGTGAATTTTAAAGTCTTAGTTTGATCCTAGTTACTATTATATTAATAAAATTCTCTTTATTTAAATTTAATAACAAAATATATTTAAAATATTAATATGAAAAGTATTTTTTAATATTTAATAGTTTTTCCATTATGATCGAACCTACATATACCTCTATGTGCTGATCGAGCCGAGTTTTAGGAAAGACTTCTAGTGTGGTACGGCTCAACATATAATCATCTCTGACAACGATAGGTAGTACGATCAAGGTCTGGCAATTGACACTGTTTTAGTTTCGGGCTCTCCGGGTGATAGAGTCCTGACAATAATATCTGTTATTATGACAACAACGTGTAGATCGATCAAACTTAACAAGATAATACTAACAATAAGTGTTCCATAGATCAGACATATAACCAAGGTATTTTAACCAGTGTTCAAGACTCTGGATTTCTTAAAACAAGAAGGATTCCTCTTACACAATGCTACTTCTTTTGAGTCATTTGGAGGAATGGTATGTCTTCTACAATATTCAACTTCAGATACATATATACATACATACATATATATATATAAATTTATATAAAAATTCCTTTCTTCATTACTTTGCTCTATTATGAAATAGTTTTGGTTTTTATCTTGGATTATGCGGGTAGGAACTATTGGTAGTTTAAAATGCATGTGATATATCTTATATTAGATAAAAATATTTAATTATTGATGAATAAAATTAATTTTTATATTAATTTTATTCATAATTTAAATAATTATATTTGAATAGAAATAATTATTATATGATAAATTATCATAATTATTTGAATATAAATAAATTATTATTCATAAAAGTCATGATTATATAAAAGATCATAATAATTTAAATAAAAATTTATATCTATTTATTTATTATAAATAAATATTTTAGTATAATTATTTTCACTACATTTGATTGGATAGTTTGAGATTTTATTGTATCTTATAGGCATAATTGTCGTTAAGAAAATATTCTTCACACCTCAAAATCAAAAATTTTTTTTATTATTATTTTTATTTAATTTTTCTAACAATTTAAAAATAATTATGAAATTCATATTTTGAACGAAGAAGATGCAAGGAAAAGAAATTGGCAAAATTGGTAAAATCGACTTTTGAAATAAGCATGAAAACTTCAATTATCCAAATAGTTTCTTGGTGAAATAAATACTAATTACAAGATAAGTTTTTTATTATTATCTTTCTAAATTTTATATTCTATTAAAAGAATTGATAATTAATAATTTATAAGAAACCTTGAGTTTCTTAAATTTTGCTTTCTTTATTGACTATTTTTTAATACTTTGATTCTGAATTAAATTATTTAATTTATAATTCATGATTTTTATGGTATGTTTTATGTGGATTTTTTTGATCATGGCATTGAATGGTCATGAGTATAAAATGGACATGGAGTACTTGTTAGCTTTGGTTATAAATCTTTTATAGCCTTGTTATACTTTGGTAAGATCATGATTATTAAATCAAAATGATAAAATTCTTGAGAATTATTTTAAGGTATAAAAGAAATTGTGAATTTATAAATCTTTTTGAAAACAAACAAGAAAGTATATATGTTTTTATCATAAAATCATATTTTATGGTTCATATTCAATTATAGCATTTTATAGGTAAGAGAATAATGTATGACTTATATTATTTGATTTATATAAAATTATTTTGATAAGAAATAAATATATTGTATAAGATAATTTCAATTCAATTGGAGAAGTTATATAATTCTTTGTAACTAGTTAAAATGCTCTCTATTTGTTGGGTGAAAAATTTTCATATATTTTATAATTTGGACACAAAATTTATAATATTGTGTGGTTAAACATGAAGTTTTGACTATTTTTAATGACATTAACTGTGGTGGATTTGGCTTTAGTGTCCATGATCAAATAATTTTAAGTATCCAATAGTTGGAATAAAAGTTTCAAAAAGAGACTATAGAAAACATAAGTTTAGTTTTGAGGGTGATTATATTTGGTATCATTATTGAAGCATATTCTCATATTGAGTTGAAATAAAAGCTTTGAAACTTTTATGAAAAAAAAAATTAAGATATGGAATATTTACTAGCTATCTTTCACTAAGTGTGGATTTGGAAGCCTTCTACTTAAACAAAAAACAACTACCAAATAGTGAAAAGATAAATAAAATGGCAACTTAACTAAGTATATAAAATATCTTGACAATTGAATGGGATAATGTTTAATAAAAGAGTGCAAATTTGCACATGGTGGATGTGATAACAATCAAAAGAAATAAAAATTGCCACCATAGTGTTGTAAGATTTTAGTATAATTTATGAGCAAATTATACAAGCTAATAAGTTTAATATAACTTAAAAAAGTAAGATCATAAAAAGGTCTTTAAAAATCTTAAAAGGACTAAAATGATTTGATTTATTCATGAAGTTTATCTAATTATACTAAAAGTATAATTGTATTAAAGATGTATAAAAATATAAAAATAGATTGGTTGAAATTTGTAACCATAGTGTTGTGGTCACAACTAATACCATCTATTTCTTAAAATGACAAGAACAAGACAATATTGTCTAAAGCATATAAATAATATATAAAATGAAAAATTTGGATATGTTAGCCTGAAGTGATTATATTAAAGATTTAATCTCAGGTGAGAATAATTATCATAAAAGAAAATTGAATTCGAAGATATTTGGTTAATAGTATTACAAGTTGAATGGATTTAAACCCTTACTATTGACACCAATAATGGAAACCCAACTTTGAATTACTAACCTTTAATTACGAAGTTTAATGGGTAAAAATTAGTTATTGTTAGGTGTCTGTTAAGCACTAGTAAATCCATTTAAATTTTAGAAACTAGTGTGATCCATTACATGGGAATGATGAGTTTTTTATACTATTAATGGAGTTTATTATTTAAATGTCTGAAGCAATAAATACATAATGAAAATTCCACATATATAAACATAGAAGTAGTGATGCTTCAATAAGAAGAATCGATGTCTCTCTTATAAATGTTTATGAATAAGATAAGCACATGGCTATAATAGTGCTAAAGTGGTTATAAACCTCTAGCAGAATAATAAATAAGTATTATGTGTGTTATATCTTCAATCCAAACACTAGGAGTTGAGATTTAATCTTCGGACACCATTAACTTTGTTAGAATTTTAAGATATATATGCTAATTGAAAGTTTAAATCGAGAGATACCTTTTTGTATTCATAATATATATTTTTGAAGAATGTCAAAGATTAACCATCAATAGTCCAAACTAATGAAGGATCATTGATAGTTTAGAATGTAACACATCTCACATTAGATAGAAAGATTTAATTATTAATGAATAAAATTAATTTTTGTATTA